ATCTATCTATCTATCTATCTATCTATCTATCTATCTATCTATCTATCCTATCTGTCTGTCTATCTATCCATCCATCCATCCATCCATCCATCCATCCATCCATTCATCTATCTGTTATTATGCAGGATTCAAACCCAGGCTCTTTGCCGCCACATCCAGCAGTCTTTCTACTGACCCACAAAGCCTTTCTTGTCCACTGGCCCCAGCCAGACTGGGGATCCCAGGAGGGCAGGGACCTTTCTTTGTCTCCTGCTAAGCTACAAGTACATGCCTGGCCACCCAAGAGGCCCCAGAAAGTGCCCGTGATGAAGAGGACCATTCATTATCACGCCATCCACTTCACGGCTGCTGAGCTTTCTCTCATGTTAACTTGAATGTAAGCCGGGGACCCAGACACCCATTTCCGGCTACACTTGGGGGGTCTTAGCTCCAGAGCCAGAAGGGGCTTTTGAGGTCATCTCATGCCCAATGATCATCTTCCAGAGAGGGAGACTGAGGCCTAATCAAGGGTAGCTCCTGGTGCAATGAAGTGGACAGCGTGTCTATTCCCAGGAAGGGATAGAGGCTACCCCAGCCTGCCTTTACACAAAGGGATCCCACCTGGGCAGGACACTTCCCAGGCATAATCAGAGTAACAAAAGGTGAATCCCCTTCACTTTAGAGGAAGAAACTAAAGCCCAAGATGGGGAGAGGGAAGGGGGAGAGAAGAAATATTTCTTTGTTGAACACTTACTGTATGCTAGGCACTATGCTAAGAGCTTTACAAATATTATCTCATCTGATTTGGGGGAAAGACTTGACCAAGGTCACATGGGTAGAAAATGGAGGTGCTTGGACATGACGCAGGCCCCCTCTCTTGAGAGACAGACAGCTCTTTCTAGGGCTTTGTTCGAGAAGCCGACAGGTTGGTGGACTTTGGACGGTTTAATGTCTCAGGCCCTGGCCCACCTGAGTTCCATCTGAGGAGGGGATGCCTACAGTTCAAGGCCCATCCCCCCAACTCCCCAGCCCCAAGAATCCCTAGGGTCTGGCCAGTGAAATTCTTGACCTTTGGTTCCGGTCAAATGGGTTAGCATCAGAAATAGGTGTGATTTCATTGGTGGAAATGACCTTAAAAAAGAGGCAGGACCATCTGCTTGGTTGCTGTGCCCTCAGGACTGTGGGCCTTGCAGTGGTCTCCCCAGATAGAGTGGGCGCTCCCTGAGAAGTTAGAATCCCCACTTTTCTATTTGTACACCCAGCCCTCAGCACAGTGATCTGTACACATAGTGAGTGCTTAATAAATGCTCACTCATTCATTTTGTGCACAGAGAGATAAACCCTGTCCTCGAGGGTTAGGGAATCCCCAGATGTTGTAACAGGGTAGACTTCCCCAGATGCCTCAGGGAAGGACCCCAAGTGTTGTGATGGGGAGACTCCCCAGAGACTCCCTGTTAGAACAGGGGGACCCTCAGAGAGGGACCCTAAGGTTCCACCAGGGAAATCCCCAGAGAGAGGGCCTTCAGGGTTAGGAGAGGCAGGGGAAACCTTTTTAGAGACAGGCACACCAGGGTTATAAGAGGGGACACCACCCCAGAAAGGGCCCAACTCAGAAACGGAGGCAGGATGACAGACACAGGCACCCCAGGGCCTGGAAATGGGAACAGCCCAGCTTTGCTCCAAGTCTCCTTAGACAAATGAATAGGTAAGAACAAAATTAAATCCTCATTATCTCTGCTTCCTTCCCCTCCACAGGAGCCCACCCTCTGGAGGACGGGGGCTGCTTGGGGGAGGTGGCTGGGGAGGGAGGAAGGGGTTGCTTCTTTCTAGCCATTAATCATTCAATTAAAGTGGAAGAAGGCTGGCCAGAAACCTCCTGGGGTGGGAGAGCTGGGAGGGAGGAATACAGTGGGAGGGCAAGGGGAGTCAGGGGTCCAAGGCACAGGAAGGGGGGTTGCATCCCCCTCTCCCATGGGCCTCATAAAGTGTCCAATAAAACATGCAGCTGGAGGAAAGGTGAGGAGCTCACAAAAGTCTGGCTCCAAACTGATGCCTCCTTCCCACCGCCCAGGCACCTGTGCCCATCTTGACCTTGGCAAGGTGATGCCAAGAGGCTCTTAAGAGGAGACTAAGACAGCTGTACTCTGTGACCTTTAAAAGGGAAACGTCAATGTCATCGAGCTAGAAGCCTTCTGGTCCAACCCTCCCCTCCCTTGCTATACAGAGGAGGAAACTGTGGCCCAGGGAGGAAAAGAGAATTACCCAAGATCACACAGCTACTAAGTGTCAGAGTCAGGATTTGAACTCAGGTCTTCTGAATCCAGAACCAGCATTCTTTCCATTGAACCACACTGGATAGCAGAGGCCATCTAGCCCAAGCTTTTCACTTTACAGATGAGTAAACTGAGGCCCAGAAAGGGGAAGAAACTTATTAAGGTCACATAGTATCCAGGTTGAACCTGGGTCCCAGGTTCCGGAGTCAGTGCTTACATAGAAGTAATCATCTTCTATGGAGCTGAGGGATTTGTGGCATGGGGGGCGGTGCTGTCCGGGATTGGGGTGGGCACAGAGCGCTTGGAGGAGGGGAGGAGAAAGAGAGCTGGAGTCCGTGCTCTCCTGCCTCACCCCTGGCTGGAGGAAGAATGTCCCCGGGCTAAGCCCAGCCAGGAGCACACAGGTGAGCTGAGGTGCTCTCCCACCCCATGAGGGTCATCTCTAACCCTCTGCCTCAGGTCAGGACCATCCTCACCAGGGGATAAAGGGTCATGGTGACAATGTGGAAAGCTGCTGGCGCCCTGTCCTCCCTCCTCATCTCTGCCTCCTTAGAAGGCCTGCCTGCCTTCGAAGCTCAGCCCAGAAACTGGCCCAGTCCATACTGTCTCCCTCCTCACGCTGTCACGGGTGGGTTTTTCTGCTTACATACTGCACCCCTCGTTAGAGCAGAAGCCCCTCGCAGGGAAGGCCTGTTTCACTTTCGTTATCTCCTGTCCTCAGTACAGGTCACGAAGAGCCAGACAGGAGAGTGCCATGCCTCTCACACAACAGGCAATTAAGTAAATTGGTTCATTGAATTGAAAGAGACATGCCATAGTGGATAGAATGCCAACCTTGAGTTTGAATACTGCCTAGCCGTGTGACTGTGGGCAAGTCATTTCACTTCTCTGAGTCTCAGTTTCCTTACTGTAAAATGGGTTCAACGGCCCCCAAAAGCCCCCTCCCCCGCTCTAAATCTATGATCACATGAGCAATGACTGGAACAGGTCCTCAGATGGCAAATACAGAGTCCATTACTGGGCACCTCCCTGGAGCCTTCCCATCTGGGACTGTGACAGCCAGCTGTCACTTCCACACCGTGACGAGTCAACGAAGGAGGACTCTAGTGAAGGCTTGGCCCAGAGCACTGACTCTGGAGTCAGAGGACCTGGCTTCGAATCTCACCATTCATGCTTAAATACCTGTGTGTCACCTTGGACAAGTCACCGAACTATTCTGAGACTCAGTTTCCTCCTCTGTGAAATGGGGGAGGGGCTGGAATAGGATGCCTCCTGTTCTAGATCTGGAATCCTATGATGCTCAGGACAAGAATTCTCCCCCATCTGTATACCATGTACAGATGAGGAAAAAAGCAAACAAAAATTAAGTGCCTGCTATGTGCCAAGGAAATATTATCTCATTTGATCCTCTCAACCCTGGGAAGGCAGTGCTATTTCCACTTTACAGATGGGGAAACTGAGGCATATAGATTTTTTTTTTTTGAGGCAGTTGGGGTTAAGTGACTTCTCCAGAGTCATACGGCTAGACAGTATCTGAGGTCAGATTTGAATTCAGATCTTTCTAACTCCAGGGCTGGTGTTCTATCTACTGAGCCACCTAGCTGCCCCCAAATTATTACTTTTCTTGGGGGGTGTGGAGGGAGAGAGCAATCAGGATTAAATGACTTGCCCAGGGTCATACAGTACCTAAAGTATTTAAAGCTAGATTTGCACTCAGGTCTTCCCAACTCCAGGCCCAGTGTTCTATCCACTGCACCACCTAGATGCTTTATGAGGCTGGGTTAAAAGAGCAGCCCTGGATCTAGCTTAGGACCCTTGGATCAGAGGTCAGATTTCTCTGCCTTAGGAGCCTGAACCTTGAAGCCCCAGGGACCTGGGAGCAAAGGGGACATCTTGACCCCTTGTGTGGCTGCCACCCCTTCTCCACCCCAAAGCTCACTACTGAGGAGCAGCTGGGCCCAGCTATACCAGCCAGGACTGGTCTCCTGCCTCCTTTGGCCTCCAAGAAATCTAGAGGAGGAAAGGCAGCCACCTGGCCTAGCCCATCGCCTGATCCAGATCCACTGTCCAACACTTCCAGCACTTGAAGACCACGAGTGACAGGGAGCTCACTACCTCCTGTGGCAGCCCGTTCCACTTCTGCACAGGTCTCACCATGAACAAGGTTTCCCTGAGATTGAATCTCCCTCTGCTTTGCTGAAACTTCCACCTACTGCTCCGGATTCTGCCTCCTGGGGGATGAGGGGGACAGGAAGAATCCTTTCTTCTACCTGACAGCCCTGAAGGCAGACATCTACAGGCTAAGTGCTCCCAGCTCTGCTTCCTTTCCAGCCTCCAGGCCTCCACAGCCCCCAGGATGCAAGCATGCTGCCTCCTCTCAGAAACCACCAGGGCCTCCTCAGGGCCTGATCCTCAGCTGCAGGGATTCTACCTCCTGAGCTAGGCTCCATGGAGGCTACCGACCTCACCAAGGGCCCCCAGCACTCATCTCCAATTACACCGGTATAATGGAAAAAGCATTGAATTTAGTCTGAAACCGTAACTCTGAATCTGACTGCTTGTGTGTCCTTGGACGAGTAATGGTCCTTTCCTTTCCTCATCTGTAAAATGGGAGAGTTGGGCTGGAATCAGAGGACCTGAGTTCAAATCCTGCCCCTGCCACTTATTATCTGACTTTAGGCAGGTCCCTTAACCTCTGCAGGCCTTTCCTTCCTCTTGGAACGTAACTCCATATGAGTAGAGATTGTTTTACCCACTGCTATCGTCAGCACTTAGCATGGTGCCCAGCATATACTAGGGGCTTAATAAATGCTTACTGATTAAATGAATTCTTCATCCATAAAATGAGGAAACTGGATTGTAATCAGAGGATCACAGTTCAAATCCTGACTCAGACACTAATTATGTGGCCTTGGGCAAATGACTCAACTTTCCTGGGGTTAAAAAATGTAAAATGAAGTAGTCCGACTAGGTCACTTGGTGTCGAACTCAAATAGAAACAGCATTCTTATTTAGAAAACTACAAATTAACATTATCTGTGTTGTATTCTATTTTCATTTATTTTGTTAAACATTTCCCAGTTACATTTTGGACAGCTGGGTGGCTCAGTGGATAGAGAGCTGGGCCTAGAGTCAGGAAGACCCAAGTTCAAATCCAGCCTCGGATACTTACTAGCTGTGTGACCCTAGGCAAGTCATTTAACCCTATTTGCCTCAGTTTCCTCATCTGTCAAATGAGCTGGAGAAGGAAACGGCAAACCACTCCAGTATCTCTGCCAGGAAAACCCCAAATGGGGTCATGTTTCGGTGGCACATTGGACGCTTAAAATCCAGAAGACCTGAGTTCAAATCTAGCCTCAGACACTTCCTAGCTGTGTGACCCTGGGCAAGTCACTCAACCTCTGTTTGCCTCAGTTTCCTCATCTGTACAACGGGAATAATAACAGCTCCTGCTTCCCAGGGTTCTTGTGAGGATCAAATGAGATGATAATAGTAAAGCACGTAACATAGTGTTTGGCACAACGCTTACTGTGTGCCAAACTCAGGTCCTCTGGATTTTAAGCGTCCAATGTGCCACCGAAACACTGAAAGAATACGTTGGTGCGAGAAGTTAAGAAAAGTCCAGGCTGAGCTACCATACTTTTCTCATGCATTTGTATTTGTTTTTATATAAATCAAAGATCCTCACTGACCCCAGTGACCCCAAAGGCGGAGCATGGAAGGAACCCCACAAAAGTCTAATCCATCCTCCTTGTTTAACAGAGGAGGAAACTGAGGCCTATTAGGATTACAGACTTGGAACATGAAGGTACCTCATGAGAACCATCTAGTCCAAAACATCTAGTGGGGCCAACCAGATCAAATGTCACTGCTTTCCCAAAGTCTTTAAAGACATTATTTCATCAGCTACTTGAAACAACCCTGTTGGGCAAATACTATGATAACACTGTCTCCATTCTAGGTTCAGCAATGCCAAGAGAGGATCATCAGAAGCCAGATGGGAAACTGTCCAAGGTAGAATTGGAATCCAGGTCTTCCCACCTTCCAGGCTCGCCAACACAAGCCTCTTAAAGGATGTGACTGAGGGACCAGAGCAGAGGATGTACTCAAAATCTCTTCCCCACCAGTTCAGAAGAGCAGCTTTGCATGATGCTTCTCTCCATGCCCACCTTCCAGGTTCTCAAAAACTCTCCAGAAAAGCCCAAACCTCACCACATCCTATTGGGGGCAAGACCTTCTAAAGTAGTACCTTCTCTTCATGATACTGATGTGCACGTCGTCCTCTTGCTTCACATCTGGCCGATGCCCATGGGCTGGGCTGCTCCCATCACTGTCCCCATCACTGGCTGAGAAAATCGAGCTCAGCTCCTTCTTTGGGATCCTGGTGGGGGGCAGTGGGATTGTCCTCTTCTCAGCCAGGCGACCCCGGTTCTAGGAGAGAAGTGGAGAGAAGGGTCAAAACTGGCCAATCTGGGATCTCTGTCCCCAGGGTCAAAAATTCTAGGGCCAGGTCATGATCCCATCATTATGGGATCCCCTGTGTCCCTTGGGAGAGGAGAGGAGCAAGACCCAGGGGGCCAGGCAGGCATCAGGGCAAGGATACCATTGCTTCCTGTTTTCTGAAATCCCAATCTTCCCTGGCTACCACTCCTCAATAACACAACCTCTTTGAAGGCAGGGCCTGTTTTGCATCTGTATTTCTGTCCCTAGAACTTAGCCCAGTCCTTGAGCCAGAGTAAACATTTAAAAGTTTTTCATTCATTCTTGGGGGCAGCTAGGCGGTGCAGTGGATGGCACACTGGCCCTGGACTCAGGGGGACCTGAGTTCAAATCCAGCCTTAGACACTTACTAGCTGCGTGATCCTAGGCAAGTCACTTAACCCCAATTGCCTAAAAAAAAATTATTTTTCATTCATTCTTGTGGGATTGTAGAAACATTGGGCTTTCCTTCTTCACTGGGGACTCCATTAGCCCTCAAAGTCTGTGGTCCTATTTTCAAGTGGTGGTAGTAGGTTCAGGATGGAGAATGGAGATCAGAATAGGAAGAGGGGAGAGGAGATTAGCTGAGCTAGCCATTGCAGTCTTGAAATGGCCACATCTTGGCTACAGCTAATATGGAAACCTGCCGTTTTCCTTCCTCTTTCTCGATGTGGGATTTTGTCTTACTCTTTCTTAGTTCCTTTGCAAAAAGCCATTTTTGACTCAACTGCACTAAGGAGGAAAAGGTTTGTTTTCTCTACCTTAGTTTGGGCAGAGAAGGAGACAGGGTGCCCCTGGTGGCCCCTTACAGTGGTGGCACCAAGGTTGGATCAGCTTCAGGATCTGGAGAGAGCCCAGGAGACATTGCCCAGGATAACTCTGGCTCCTGAAGCCCCTTCTGGTCTGGGTAATACCTTTTAATTCTGACTCCTCTTTAGTGACCCTGACACTCAGCACAGTCACTGAATACAGCTTGGCACAGAGCTAGTTAATTTCTTCCCTTTCTTGGCTCCAATCTCCTCTTCCTCCAGTCCTGCTCCCTCAACACCAGTTCTAGGAAATACTCATATCTCTTGATCTTCACGTCCAATCTTAGCTCTGGTTCAAAACTGCTTTCTAAGGGACTCCCTGAACTTCAAGATGGCTGCCCCCTCACTCTACCCAGGGACCTGGGACCTCAAAATCACTTTGATGTCTTTCTAACATCTCCCTGTAAGCTCAGCTCCAGCTCAGACTCGAGAACTAGTCCTGACTCTCGGGAAGGGGCACAAAAAGAATTCCAGGTTCAATGTCCAGCTGAGCTCAAAACAAAGATCCCCAGACCCTGATTCCTAATAACTTGTTTTCTTACTCCTCTGTGACTGAGGAACCCCAGTAAAATGTAAGCTCTTGGAGGGTGTGAATTTGCTCTTCTCCATACTGTGCCCCCCCCCCCCCCGCCCCAGAGCCCAGCACAGTGCTTGGTGGATAGATGTTTACTAAGACACACACCTGTGTCTTGGAGTCAGGGAGATCTGGGTATGAATGAATGAATGAATGAATGAAGAGTGAATGAATAAATGAGTGAGTGAGTGAGTAAATAGGCTTTCCGCCCCTGAGCTTTGGTCCTTCCCAGACAGCTCCTATGCCTATCTCATAGCTTGTTGCTGGGTCTACCTCGAACTATCTCCCTATTTGAAGCCCCAACAAGCCAACTGGACCCTTAGTAGTATTCTGCTTAGTCTCCTGCGGATCAACTGCCCACTGAGCCCCACTGATGAAGAAGCTCAGGCTCAGCAAGGTTAAGCCACTTGCTTAAAGTAACAAAGTAAATGCTGAAGCCATGATCCAAACCCGGGGCTAGCCATCTTTCACTAAAGTCTCCTGCTTCTCTTGATCTTGGCCTAAGTCAGGAGCTTTTGCCATCAGTCAACAGCAATCGACAAACATTCATTAAAGTGCCTACTACACACTAGGCATTGTGGGTGCACACTATGCTAGGTGCTGGAGATGGAAAGACAACAGGACCCTGTCCCTCAGTCCCTCAAGCAGCTCATCCCAGCTGGCCTTGTTCCTTGGACGAACCTCTCAGTTCCACAATGAGCCTTTGGAATCACCCTTTGAGCCAATGATCCCATTGCTTTAAGACCCCAAAGAGGACAAAGACAGAAATGTGTCCTTTAGTCCAAGTGGACTAAAATATTGATAGCGGCATTTTTTTTTTTTTTTTGTGAGAGAGCAAAGAACTAGAAACAAAGAACAGAAAAGGGCTGTGGTCTACAATGACACGTACTATTAAAATGTATAAATGTAAAGGACGGAACAATGAATATGAAGAATTCAGAGCAACTTAGGATGATTTATATGAACTGATACAAAATGAGGTAAGAAGAACCAATGAAAGTCTAGAAACAATAACTACAATGATGTAAATAGAAAGAAAAAGAAAGCACAAAACTGAACACAATGTAATTATGATCACCAGGCTGGGTCCCAAAGACAAGATGAAACAATGTATCACCCTCCTCTTTTTTTCAGAGGCAGGGCACTATACGTGCAAAATGCTGCATATACCATCAGACTCAGTAGACATGTTGTTTAGTTTTGTTAAAATGCTTTCCCGCCCTTTTCTTTCTTTGTTATAAGTCTCAGAACAGTACATAGCACATAGTAGGCACTTCATAAATGCTTGTTGATTTGGGATGGCTTACTAGGGAGGGGAGAGAGGAGGGACATTTTTGAAAATGAAGGTGATATAAAAATAGAAAATTGTAATAACAATTTAAAATATTTGAAAAACCCTTTAGAAACCATGTACCCATGCCCAAAATAACTGAAGCATGACCAGAGATCTGTGTTTTAATCCTGGTCTTCTACAGAGCCTGTTGGTTTGCCTGGATTCCTGGTCCCGACCTCTTACAGGGACCCTAAGGCAGGCTCAGCCCACTTCTGCCGGTTCTCTGTGAATCAGGTCCCGACATTTGTTTTGTTTGACCCCAGAGAACAGAAGAAGACTAATTTGTCTTCCATGCGGCAGTAGGGAAGGAGGGAGGGCCAAGGAGTTAGCAGATGAGGTACTAGGGAGTAGGGCTGGTAGACTCCCTGGCCCAACGCCAGTACACTCCACCCCTGCCCCACCTCTACCCCAAGACAACAGCTGTTAGACCTGGCCGCAAAGGAGGGGAGAGCTCGATGGTGACCTGCAGAGCTAATTCCTAAATCTTTTAGAAAATGTTTCTTACTGCTATCGAGGATGTGCCATGTAACATCTAGCACACGCGTGGCTTTTGTGGCATGTGGCATGCATGTGGTTGCTGTGACGCATGTGGCGCAGGCCTCAGTTTCCTCAGGGGGATAATAGCAGCGTCTAGCTTACAGGGCTGCTTTGAGGATTGAATGAGATGATACATGCAAAGAATTCTGCATATATTAAACTGTTGTATGTGTTAGGGATTACTGTGCTGTTCTGCATCTAATGTGGAGATGTGGTGTGTGTGTGGGTTGCAGCACTTCTGTGTGACAGGATCCCATAACCATGGAGGGGTGCTGTGAACCACCAGGAGAACCCAAATCCAGGGCTGGGCTGCTGCAGGCTCACAGCCCCCTCTCTGCTAGTTACACTGGAAGAAAAGTTATCGATCATTATGTGGCTAGGGGTGGGGGGGGCAGTCCTTTTGACTTATTTAATAATGGCTGGCTGGGGCCTCCAAATGCCTAATTCCC